CTCTATTCGGATCCAGCTGAGGGCAGAGGTTGGGAGGAAGAGCCCTGATCCACAGGATTCCTGCTTATGGGGAGCCCCGAAGCCTCCCCGTTTGGGTGGCGCGTTTCCTGAGCACTTCCAGCCTAGCAAGAAGGGGCAGAGAGATGGAAGCCTCCTTTACGAGCGAGATATCTGTGCAAAGGGAGCCATAAATGGCAAAGCCAAGTGGCAGGTTTGCCAAAAACACCATCAAGTTTTATATTCCCGAAAGCAAGAAATAAAAGACGGAAGAGATTTAAACAAAGAGGATAAGAGGAGCCTTGTGAGTGTGTGTGTGTGTACACTAAAGCTATCTCCAGGCTGCAATTACTGGCTTTTCTGTGACTGCACAAGCAAGACAAAATCTTAGCCCTTAAAAAATAAGAAGGCCCGAGGAGTCTTCTCACAGGAGGCAAAAAACCACCAGGCCAAATGGCCGGCGGTGGACTTTCTCTTACGTTTGACCTACATCCCTTCATTCTCCCCGAGTTATGAAGAACTTGGTTATAAAAAGAGGCCAACCCCAGCTGCCTCCGTAAGAGGAGCCAAGGAGCATCAGGCAGGATGCAAAATGCAATTTGGCATGCCAGGTAATTAGCCAGTTAATGGTGAGAGGCTGTTGCATCTCTGGGTCTGCAGTGGTGCTGCACATCTGGGCACTGGAACGTGAGGCAAGGCAAGACTTGGCCAACTCAATAGCCTAGAATGAAGACTTTAGATGTCAGGTAGAAAAGGGATGCTTCACATTCGTATCTTTGACGTTTTTACTCAGGATTCCAAACACACCAACACAAACATACTCATCCAAATCGTGATTTTAATTCCCGCTCTTTAAGCACCCACCACAGATTTGCACGCTAAAGGGCACGATTCAATACTGCTCTCCCAGCATGTGCAAACGGGCTCCCGGAAATGCACTTTTCCACTGAGTTGGGAATGGGAAAGGGGGTCTGTGGCTTTTTTTAGCCCAGTCATATTGTGAGATGCCCAAAAGCTTTTGCTCGATCCCAGAAGAGTAATTGGAGAACGGTGCTTGAGAAAATAAAGTGGATGTTATTATCCCTTAAAAGCTCTGTTGTTTCTCTCCCTTTTATAACATGGAAGGGCGAGGGCTGAGTGCCCAAGCCGTTTGATCTTCTCTCCCCACCCCCAAAGCACAATTAAGAAGAATTTGGGGTTTTATGGAAGAGTTGGCTGTGCTTAGCATTACCAACACTGGACTGCATTAATTTTGACTCTGCTTGGGAAGGTGGTTGCATGCAAATTGACATCGGTTTGTACCTGCCTACCTGCTTCCAGTGGGAGGGGATGGAAAATGAAGTAAGTGGTTCAAAAAACGGTTGTGAAGCCTCAGTTTTGAGCATGAGCCCAAGGAGATCCCTGGTGGGAACACAGCCCATAGCAAAGACAAGGGGAATTTAACCAGGATTAGCAAAGCTAGGCTGAGGTTCACACACCCTGTGGAAGTGCCAGAGCCTAGTTGGCACCAGGCAGAAGGGGAAAAGATGGTCAGCTGAGGAATTATGGGGGTTGAAGTCCACAAGTCTTCAAGTTGCGACGGTTGGAGACCCCTGCTCTAGTTCACCGTGTGGGGCAACCACAGGCAGGGCCTCCAGCTCTGGACCTGCAAGATCTTAAACTAGGCCAGGTGTTGAGGCCATTCTTTTAAGACTTGTGGACGTCAACTCCCTGCAGAGCTGGCTGGGGGAATTCAGTTGAAGTCCCCAAGTCTTAAAAGTTGCCACGGTTGGACAGCCCTGAGCGAAGTGGTTTCAGCCCCATGCAAGTCTCAGCTGGAACCTTCCCCTCCCTGGGAGCAGCTCACGACCTCCACCTGGGCAGCTCAATTCCCGTGGGATCCCTCCTTGTTTGCCCATGGAGCTCTCAGCATCTCTGCCTGGGCACCTCCTGGCTGCCCTCTGCCAGTAGATCAGGTGCTGGGTTGAGGGCCTCCCCCTCCCCCTTTCCCTGCCCCCAGCCCTGGCTCATCCCTCTCCCTCCCCGCTTCTTCGCCAGGGTCTGCTCTCTGCTGGGCGCTCTCCTTTTCCCAGGCCTCCCCCGACATCTAGTGAGAAGCGCCTGGAACTGCAAGGCTGCCTTAGCGCTGGGAGAAACAGTCCCTTCTGAAGGAAGTCATTCGCCTCTCACAAATACCAGAAGTTCAGGCTTGGGAGCTTCCTGGTGACGGCAGTGACTTACTGCAATATTTTAAATCCTTTTGACTGTCTGGTTTGGGTTGTGTTATTTGGGGAGAAGTTGTTCAATTGTGAAGATTTCATGGTTGTGTGTACTGCCTAGGAGACGAGCATAATAAGTGCACCAGAGTGCCCACTGTCCCATTTATTCATATTCATTTATTATGTCTATCCTTATACCTGTTTATACTTATAGGTTTATAGGTTATGTTCATACTTGTACTTGTTTTCTCATACACGCTTGACAAACTAAACGAAATAAAAATCAATCAATCAATGAATAATTGGTGGGTATTTTTCAAAATACCCACTTTATGAACAAGAACGCCATGTTTTGACTGCCTGATGTACATCCAGCCAAAACCATTGAGGTTGCTGGAGACTAGCATGGACTGAGGGCAGGATTCACACTAGGTTGAAGACCAGACCAGCAATCAAGCAACGAACAATACCCCAAAGCACAACCAACCCAGACAAACGATCAGACAGTATTTAACAGTTTAATCAAGAAGAAAATAATACCCCTGCCAAGACTGACAGGGCAAGCCACTTGTGTATAAAGAGCAAAACTCAGCCCCTCGTGGCACTCATGATGTTACCTAATTAGTTCATGAAACTTTGCAAGAAAACCACCAAGCTCATAGAGCACCAAGGATTCTCCAGCAAATGAACGAACAAGCGAGTGAGTGAGTGAACGGATGAATAGCCATCTTCCCCACCAATACCAGCAGGGTAAAGCCACTGTGTGTAAACATAAAGGAAACCACTCTCCTTTCTAGCACTGGTGATGTTCCCTAGTTGGGTCATGAAATGTCTGCATGAAAACGACCAAGCTCAGAGAGCACTAAAGGCTTCACTGGGATCTGCGAATGGACCAGGTCAATTTATGCTTCAGAGCAGAAGCAATCCAGCACCTGGGGTGCCTTCCCTCCCAATTCCCACCAGGAAGCAAGTCCTTCATTTCATCAAAGCTCATGCTAGCACTGCTGATGTTAGCTAGTCGGATAATTAAATATTTGCACATAATCAAATATTTGCAAGCCCAAAGAGCTCCAAGGACTCCGCAGTTCAACCCTGAGCTACATTCGTTCTCCTCTACTGGTGGGCACCTGAAAGCCAACAGATCCTTGATCCTGAAGGAAACTTTTTTTTTGTTATAAACTTTATTCAGTTTTTCCAACAATTTAAAAATGTAAAAGAAAACAATTACAACAATGTTGAAGACATCATTAACATATCTTAACCATATTCTTATACTTAATTTTCTATTGCACTATGATTATTACATATTAATTTTTCTGTTAATTCTCTATTCCTTACTCCTTACCTATATCACTTGTTACATAGTACATTTTCTATTAATTCTACATTCAGTACATGTAGCTTCATATTCTTTAATCTTTAACTCTCTGCTTTGTAAGCAGTAACCAAGCAAGAAATCTTTGGAAGCTTCTTCACGTCCTGCATTAGGCAGAGGGACACCAGGAGAGGGAGCCAAAGGCTTAATAAAGTGAGAAATCCCCGAGTTTTTAAGGGCAGCACAACATCTGTGTGAATTACCCTTATTCGATTTTTATCCTATCTGCCTGCCTGCCTGTCTCTGTCTCTGTCTCTCTATCTATCTATCTATCTATCTATCTATCTATCTATCTATCTATCTATCTATCTATCTATCTATCGTGTTTCCACCCCAGGGAGTTTCCAGGCAACCCAAGTGGTCCTTCAGTCCAGCAGAGAAACAGTCCATGGCCACAGGCCAGGCCCTTGAATTTCATTTTTCATGTTTTGACCATTTGCGTGAGAGCAACTCCTTTGGAAGGAACAAGCATTCTTTTCTACAGAAAGAAAAACAAAGGCCGTATTGAGATTTCACAATATTTCAACATCACAACCTCCACTGTTTGTCAAGGGATTAGCCCCCACCAACACCAAGCAAGAAATCAATCTGGACGCCGTCTTTGAGTCTTTGTTCATGTGCAACCACAGCCAACTCTTCGGAGACTTACAAATGGAGTCCCAGCAGGATAAACCAGGAAGGCCTTTGCAGGATTCGTTTGCTTTATGAAATAGCCAAGGGACTCGAACAGTCCTAAAGCCCAGGCTGAAGTTTGATAGGAACAATCCCAACAAAATTTACCTGTGTTCTTTAGCTAATGGTTGCAATCCTTTCTGGTTTGTTTGCTCTTAAACTTCCGAATGGGGGGATAGTTTGTGTCCTACTTCATGATTTGTAGCATCTTATTAGAGACATGACCAGTGAAGAGAGACTTTGTGGGAGCTCCTGAAAGATGCTATGAGTCCCACACTGAAACATCAATGTTAAAAATAAAATCTCATTTTCTCCCTTTTTTAAAAACACATCGTTCTGGAAACACTAGCTCTTGATTTCATATTTGCTTCAGGCATTTTTAATCCATGTCTCAGCTGACCATCTCCCTGGAAACGTTTCGATGAGGTCTGCAAAAGAACTTCATCTGCTGGTTTTCAAGATCTGCCCTGCAATTTGCCAATGACACTTCGCAGCATGTTAGAGCCAGTTATTATAAACATCATTTAGTCATTATTAATGGTCCCTTTTAGTGATGGGTCTTTACTGACCTTATTTTAAAGTTCACCCAAATACTGTATTTTGCAAATGTTTTTATTTGTTGGGAAATGTATTTTGAAGGAGTTTAATTTTTCAGTCCAAATAAATGTCCAGCTGCATTTGCTGCTGATAGGCTGAGGGGAACTGCTGGCCAAGGCCACCTGGCACAGGAACTGCTCTTCTGGGTTATATCTGGAAACTTCGGTCACGGAGAGTCTGCATTTGATATCTGCAAACCCAGAGACCACATCGTGATGGAATTCACTGGAGGAGACATTTACCAGAAGGAATTCGATCCCAAAGTTTACCTGGAATATTTCCATTTTGGGAAAGGGTCCGTCGAAGATGAATTCCTGGAGTTTATTTTGAAATGCTTTTGCAAAATCTTTACTTCAGGTAGGTGATCCAGTCACTGCTGCAACTTTGAAGGGGGAGAATATTCATTTAAAAAAAGAGGCAAACTGTAGCGCCAGGGAAAAGGTCTTTGAAAGCTTTCGGCATCGCTAGATAGGACTTTACTGAAAACGCTGAGTCAGGGACTGACTTATTTTTTAAGCAACTTTTTGTGCCTCTGACAGGTGGTTTTCTTCAAGCTACATTAAGTTCATGGCCTTGCTGATTGAATGATCCTGTGGACTTCTTATGCCTTACTTCATAGGTGTCGTTGCCGCATCCCTGCATTCAGACATCTGTAATTGGTGAACATAAAACCTAATAAAACACAAGGGGAGAGGGATAAGATTCCAGCAAATGAATTTACAATGCATTGGAAGCATTCCACATAAATGTGTAGAAGTTTTTTAAAAAAATCAAAGCAGGAAAAAGTGGAGGAGTTAAACTGCATTCAAGGACACAGTGTAGGGTGTGGAATCTTCCAAATACTATCAGGTCTTCTCTGGGCTTTTAACATTTGAGCTGTAAAAATGGTTTCAGTCTTCCCAAGGATGATTTAAAAAAAAATGCAGCAGTTGAATCATCGTTCTTTTGCGTAGGGAAATCAAAAGTTTTCTTGACCCCATCAGTTCAACATCAACAGGGAACCCACGTATGACTCTCCTGGGCAGAAGAGATTGGAGGGGATAAGCTTGAATTTTTTCCCCTTCTCTCCCCCCCCTCCCCAAATCTTCCTCTCGTTTATGCCAGGGGTCCTGAAAGGTGGCACCCTGATTGATATTGGCAGTGGCCCCAGCATCTACCAGCTGCTGCCTGCCTGTGAGTGCTTCGAGAACATCATAGCCACTGATTATCTGGACAAGAACTGCCAGGAAATTACAAAATGGATGAAGAAGGAGCCGGGCGCTTTTGATTGGTCCTCGGTGGTGCAGTATGTGTGCCAGCTGGAGGGGAACAGGTAGGGAGGATGTGCCCATGGAAAAAGAAAAAAAGAAAAACTAGGGGCTTAGTCTGATCGGGTCAAAAGTCCCAGAGAAAGTTCATTATTGGCTAATGGCAGGAATGGCGAAAGGCCAGCCAAGCAACGTTCAAACTCTCTGTGTGGGAAAGGAGAGGCCACGCTGATTAGAGACAAAAGGGACAGAGGTGGGACAGGGGGAAGGGGTCAAGCAGGTCAAGAAAAATAGAGCAAGGGCAAAGAGAGGGTGGGGTGGGAGGAAATATTCAGCCAGGGGAGTGGGGAGCTGCTATGCCAGCTCATTGGTGAAGCTTAGGTGTTAACAATAGGTGAAAATATTTGTAGCTCAGGGTTGAATTGTGGGGTCCTTGGTGCTCTCTGAGCTTGGTTGGTTGCCTGTAGATGTTTCATGACCCAACGAGGTAACTTCTTCGGTGCTAGAAGGGGGGATTTGCAGGGAGGAGGAAGAGGAGGAGGAGGAGGAAGAGGAAAAGGAAGAGGAGGTCTTGGTGTTCTCTGAGCTTGGTTGTTTGCTTACAGACATTTCATGTCCCAACTAGGGAACATCATCAGTGTTAAAAGGGAATGGGGATTGCTCTCATTTTACATACTAGTGGTTACCATGCTGGATAACGAAACATCTGCAAGCAAACGGCCAAACTCAGAGAGCTTCACGGACCCCACAATCCTGATGCATATTTAACACATTTCCCACTCAAAGTTCTATATTTTTTGAGTCCCTGTAATGACAGGAATGTTGCTTTGGTTGTTGGGGGTATGTTGAGCCAAAGAGACTTCAGCCATTCTCCTTCTCAACATACTTGGCTTGTACTGGAGAGCTACTTCAAGCCACCACTTCTTAGCTGGTTCCGTTGCATTCCAGAGCGGTCTCAAAGCCGTCTGTTTATTGGCTTTTCGATGTCCCTGCAGGGAGACGTGTGCAGAGAAGGAGGCCAAGCTGCGAAGAAGCATCAAGCAGGTTCTCAGGTGTGACGTCCACCAAAGCAACCCACTGGCTCCCGTCTCTCTGGCCCAGGCTGACTGCCTTCTGTCCACAGAGTGCCTGGAATCCGCCTGCAAAGACCAGGCGAGTTTCCAGGCCGCCTTGAAGAATCTCAGTTCTCTGCTGAAACTCGGGGGACACTTGGTACTCGGTGGGGTTTTAGGGTGCACGTTCTACAGGTTGGGCCCTCATAAATTCTCCAGCATGCTCCTCACGGAAGAAATCCTGAAAAATGGGCTGAGCACCACTGGGTTTGCCATTGTAGAGTTCAATGTGGAGCCCAGAGTTTTCAAGACCCACATGGAGGACTGTGATTTCTCCGGGAAGTACGTCATTCTTGCCCGTAAGGACAAAGAAGTGTAAACCCTGTGGCTTCATTGTATCTCAAAAGCCACAACATCGCTTTGGATCTGGAACATGTTTGTTCCAAGCCCATCTCTACCACAGTTTTAGCTTTCTAAATGTTGCCTGAAGGCCATCATAACCCATCATATACGCCTGTTGGGAGGTCACACCCCAATAAAGATGGAAGGGGTTAAAATAAAGCACTTTCTAAAACAAGCATGCCTCGTCTTGATCTATGTTTAGTGAACATTGAGTGAAAAATAAACAAATCATGCAGCAAACAATGAAAATGTCAGCATTCACCTGGGTTTTCACGAACGGGCCAGTTTTATTTATTTATTAGCAATAGCATTTAGACTTATATACTGCTTCACAGTGTTTTCCAGCCCTCTCTAAGTGGTTTACAAAGTCAGCCTCTTGCCCCCAATAATCTGGGTCCTCATTTTACCCACCTGGGAATGATGGAAGACTGAATCAACCTTGAACTGGTCAGGATCAAACTCCTGGCAGTTGGCAGAGTTAGCCTGCAATACTTCATTTAACAGGAAGGAAGGAAGGAAGGAAGGAAGGAAGGAAGGAAGGAAAGGAAAGGAAAGGAAAGGAAAGGAAAGGAAAGGAAAGGAAAGGAA